CCTCCGGCGGACCCATCACCCTCAGCACCGGCGCCCGGAACAGTTCTGCGAAGAGGGCGGGGAGCAACGACGCCGGTTCGTCCACGGCTCCACGACCCAGCTCCTTCCTGCTTCCCGCGAGGGCTCCTTGCAGACCCACAGACCAAGAGGGTGAGGGGAGGAGGCCGTGTGTCCACGTGGAGGGGGAAGGGGAGCCTTCTGAAACGTGGGGCAGGGGGACCGAGTCCACGAGGGACGGGGAAAGCTTGAAAGGAGGAGGGACCGGGCCCCACGCTTCATGTCACATCCCGACTGACACTCAGCTCGGGTTCTGCAGCCTAGGAGAGGAAACGCTGCGCCTGCCTTGCAGGACGCTAGGGAGTCGCTCCTTCGTCCCAGTCCCACGGTGCCCCCTGACCCTGAGCTGCCCTCTATATGGGAGCCAGAGTGAGAAGCCAGGGTGTGCGTCGGGGAAAGGGACCAGCCTCCAAGCAGGCTGCAGATCAAGCGCTCCTTCGCGGCGAAGGAGAGGAGACAGCGTCCGTAGTCTAAGAGAAACCTGCCAAGTGGCAGCTATTTGAACTTCCCGCCCCGTCTTTTCCCGCCGAGCTCCTGTCCCAAAATTTCTCAGTGCTCATTTGCCTCCCTCCCGGGGCCCCTGGTCTCTCCCACCTTGCACTGTCACGGCCACCTTAGCGGAGAACATGGGCGCGCTCTCCACCGGGATGCGCATGGTGCCCGAGCACTGGTAGCGCCCGCTATCGCTGGCGCGCGCCTGCAACACAGTGTAGTTGGCGCTGGAGTGGAAGTAGCGCACGGCCTGGCCGTCGTGGTAGTAGTGAAGCTTGTAAACCACCTTGTCGTACCAGCCGCGGCAGCGCAGGACCAGCGGCTCGCCCTCGAACACTGGAGTATAGGGCACTTGCAGAATCAGCCAGTCTGCGACAGACACCACAGACACGCTTGACTCCACAGAAAGTCCAGCCCTGGAGATCTCCCACTCTCACAGCCTCTCTGCTTTCTCCCCATAACTCCTCTCCCTCCCTTCCCCGCCATCTCCCACCGCTTTCTTTTTTTTTTTTTCTTTTCTTTTTTGAGACACGGTCTTGCTCTGTCGCCCAGATTGGAGTGCAGTGGCACAAACTCGGCTCACTGCAACCTCCACCTCTCGGGTTCAAGCGATTCTCCTGCCTCAGCCTCCCGAGTAGCTAGGAATTACAGGTGCGTGCCACCACGCCCAGCTAATTTTTGCATTGTTTAGTAGAGACAGGTTTTCGCCATGTTGGCCAGGCTGGTCTGGAACTCTGAGCTCAGGTGTTCCGCCCACCTTGGCCTCCCAAAGTGCTGGGATTACAGGCGTGAGCCACCGCGCCTGGCCTCCCACTGCTTTCCTGAGCAGACAGGCCTTCCCTGGTGGTTGGCACCCAGTAGCCTCATAGTGCAAGATATATTTGTAGGTGACTGGGAAGGAAGGGGGAGGGCTGGTCTTTCTCTTAGCCAGGGAGGCAAAGATGCCAGAGACTT